GGTCAAAGGTGGACATATAGTAGGGCTACGATGGTAGTAAACTGACCTTGGTCTCTTAGGGAAGGCAGTAAGATCGTCAATACATGGGTTAAACTTATTAAGGTTCCTCAACATATCTGTCGAAGGTTTTTTCAACGATCGGAAAACTGAACAAAATACCACGTGAAGCACGTGATCACTCAGATTCCTATGCTCCTACTTGCATAAAGAAAGACAAAGTTGTACAAACCACGACAAAAAATGACCAAATCATACTATCTGCCCTTTTGAATTAAAGAGTAATGGCATATTTATAAGGATATCTTTCTATTTCCTAAGAAATTACAATTAATTAAGTAAACAAATTCAAAACGTAACTTCGACAATAAGTTGAAATCCATAAAATAGTTAACCACTTAATAAACAGACTAATTAAAGAGCCAAAAAATAGTATTGACCTTAAAACTTTGGTAACATGGCCAAAAACTGATCCACATCTTATGAAATAACGCAATTGCAATTGACCAAAACCACTAAATCAAGTCCACACACTTCACCATGAAAGAAATCCTTTCTTTCAGTAAATAGGTTCAGTGCAGAATTAACAAAGCCATTTATAAGAGAACTAAAAAGAAAGTGTAGACTCAAGCCAAGTCCAATACATCCATCTAGTTACATTAAGGTTGAGATAAGCTTGTAAAGAGTAGAAGTGCTACACTCCCCCTCCCCCCCCCCCCCCACCCACCCACACACACACTCTCAAACCAAAAAAAAAAAAAGAAAAGGAAAAGTAAACCAGCCAACCACATAAGGGAAGTGGATAGGATACAGATACACTGATTTATACAAGGCATTACCCTACTATGGTAAGCTATAGATACAATCAAACTACGTTTCCAAACTGCACACATATACTAACCCTTAACTTGTTGAATTCCAACTAACTTAAGTTTCCAAATTAACTGAAGCAAATTTTGGAATATACAATTGGATCAAAAGAAGACATGTATATTTTGCTTCATTCTAAGATATCTTTGTTAACATATCAATCAGATGTAGCAAAAAAGTATTACTACCAATGTGCCAATTCATATACCACTTTTCTATTTAGGGATTTTCAAAAGTGTTAAGACACCACTTGACAAATAACATTATTAACACAACTTTCATGAGTTTCAACAATTCAAATACACTTGACTAATCCGTTTTATACTTTGATGTAATGTTTTCTCCCGTCCAGCTGAAGTTTAATATTCTCTTGTACTACTACTTATATGTCATTAACAATTCGAAATTTAAGATAATTGAGTAATCATCATCTAGCCTCAGGTGCTAAAATCGTTCCCTCCGATCGTGCTAGATGATTTCGATTTTCACTGGTCCATCAAACAACAGGACAAAAAAAAAAAACTGAAAGAAAAACTAAATTCAACTTGATAAAACGGATTGAGGGTTTTTGTATCCTGAGAGAGGGAAAAAAGGAAATTCGGGAAGGGATGAGAGAAAGAAAAGGTAAACTCACAACTTGATTTCGCCGGAGAAAAACGTTAGCTTCGTCGAAACAAAATCAATGGGAATTCGGGTCGTAATTTCGAGTTTTCTAATGTGAATATTCTTTGTGGTAGGGGTGTTATAACAGAAGGAAAACCCCGTAAAAACCAATTTATCCTTTAGTTTGGTTTGACGTTGAATTTTTAAAAAATCATTTTAAACAAGAAATCAAATTATCCAATCAAATCTGTAAATATTCATGTATATACTTGTCTCTTGGTAAGTAATGTATCTTGTATCCATGAGAATTTGTTTTGAAAAAATGATATAAATTCAGAAATAAGGTGGGAGTGGCTTTTTGTGGTTGACACTTATTATGAAAGCGAGGCTGAGATGGTTCGGCATGTGAAGATGTATAGATGCCCTAACGAGGAGATGTAGAGGCTAGGTAAGGCATGAGACATCTTCAGCTTACCTAGTACATGATCCTACATAGAAAGATATGCAAGTCGAGGATTAGGGTAGAAAGTTACTCCCTCCGTTCTAATTTATGTGAATCTGTTTGACTGGCACGCGGTTTAAGAAAAAATGAAGACTTTTGGAATTTGTGGTCATAAACAAGTCAAAAAGGCTGTTATAAAAAGGTTTGACTGTGCTACATGTTGTTTTCCTTGTGTCGATTTTCTTATTGATTTGTTATTTTGTTGTTGTTATTGTTATTGCCTTCATTTTTTCAACATGGCTTTTCTTCACTACTTTTTTTCTTTTTCATACCTGCTGTGAATTATTTTTTTTAACCCGAAGATTTATCGGAAACAATTTTTCTACCTTCACAAGGTAGGGGTAAGGTATACATGCACATTACCTTTCTACACCCCCACACTATGGGAATATACTAAATATGTTGTTTGTTTTTCTTGTTGTTGACAAAAATTATATTCAAACAAAATGTTCAAATTATAAAACTACAAAAATTACAAGTTTCTGAAAATAATAAATGTTGATATTGTCTAAAAAATTGGATCCACTCAAATAGTTCTTCCTCCGATATGCTCGAGTACTTACATCAAGTCTTGCCAACTCAATATAATAAGATGTAAAAGTGGCAATTAGTTCACTAAAAACTTGAAAAAGTCCTTGCTCTACTGAGCTATTTTTTCCTATGTTCTACTGGCAAGAGCTTCTTGCTTAAGTAAGATTCTATGTTAAAGTAGATAATCACCTTTAGAGCCCGTTTGGACATAAAAAAGAAATTCCTTTTTCTCAAAAGTTTTTCATTTTTTTTCGAAATCAGCGTTTGTTCTTAAATTTTTAATTTTCACTTGAAGATACATTTTGAAAATTTTCAAAAATTTGAAAAACTTCAAAAAGCTATTTTTCGAAATTTTCACTCACAAAAGTTCAAAAACAACCCAAAATCATATTCATGTCCAAACACAATTTTTCCCCCTATTTTGCAATTTTACAATTCTTATGTCCAAACGCCTACTAAATTTAAGATGTGAAAAATTTTGGTTTCACGTTTGGATTGAATTATGATGTTAAACCAAAAGCTTGAAAAAGTAAAAGGAAGAAACAAATGAGCAAATTGAATTTATATTACTTACTTGGTGATTATTGTTTTCACGTTGATTAATTATCCAGGGAAATTAACTTTTAGGTTGCTCTTCTAGTGAAAAATAGAAGTTGTGACCTGTGGGTAGTTCTATGCAACTGATGTATCAAGACCTCGATTGGAATTATATTGACATAGCAGAGAACTTAAGGGTGTGTTTGGATATTTTCTTGAATAATGAGTGATTTTATTACTTATTTTTGGACCCAAAAATTGTTAGCATACGGTTTAATGGCTTAAGGGATTATCGGGGTCAATTTAACATTATCAAAACTTAGGGATTAGCTATTGAAGTTAGAAAAACTTAATTTTCCAACATTTCATCCCCCCCCCCCCCCAACCCCCCCAAAGAACTTCACCATAGACCTAGGTCGGTTTCGGCATACCAAATGTTGATTTCAGATCAAAAGTAGGTCACGATAATAATTTTCAGGTAACTTAAATTTATTTTTTACTATTTCTTAAAAGTCTCATTTTGGGTTTAAAGAATGAGTTGTTTGAAGCGAAATGTATGTGTTGTAGCTAACTGTAGTTGGTTTTGTAAAACTAGATGTTCTATAGCAAGGATGGATATTGGTCTTAGTTGATCTACTTTGGGGTGTTGTATTTTCAATTACGGTAGTTGTAACGACCTAAGTTCTATAATAAACCTATAGTCGATTATTGTTTATTCTAGCTGCTCGGCGGAACTGTTTTATTGATTATAGTATGTTAGGATTATGAATGTAGCTCTATAATTTAATATATTTCCTTTCCCCTACCTCTAATTCTGGAATTTATATGCTAATCAGTTGTATAGAGAGGAAACCATCATAATAGAATCAACACAACTTTACACTCATTCATCTCTATCCTCATATATTCCAAGTTTATGTTTCGAATTATTAAATGTGACATTGATCTTTCGTTCTTTTGAATTGTGAAGTCGATTGTTTTGGGATTTTGAACTATGATACTATTGTATATCAAAATTCCTCTTTTGATTTTTCTTAACAATCTCATTTTTGGATTTTAAAATGAGTTTTATGAAGTTAAATGCATGTGTTGCTGCTCTTTGTACTTGGTATTAAAATTAAATCTTCCATGAGTTTTATGAAGTTAGCTTATTGTAACAACTTGATTCTATATACCTACTGTTTATAATCAACCACTTTATATGTCCACTGAATACCTATGGACAGATTTCGACGGCAAAGTAGCAGAGCAATGGAAATTTGAGAACAAATAGAAAGGCAACAAATGGGGAAGATTGGGATCCAATACATTGCTCTATATATGAAAGGTCAATTATATATCAAACTTGTAATTAAGATAAAACTTCAATATTGAAGGTAAATAAGTACCAAAAGTAGTATAGATAAGTCAAAACTATTTTAAGATAGTTTATTTGACTAGATATGATACAGTCAAACCTCTCTATGACAGCATCGTTTGTTCTGAATATTTTTGGATGTTATAGCGAGGTGTTGTTATAGAGAACATATATTATAACATAACATAAGAATTGGTTCCGGAAAAACTTGGCTTTTATAGTGAAGTGTTGTTATAGAGAGATCTGATACAAATGGACTTTTCTTGTGTTCTATAAGAAAAAGATGGATTGGAAATCCTTGGATATTTATCTATCCTGGCAAAGAGAGAACCCATTTTGGACGATATATGATGGTCAGCCTCTTCTTGATTAGATCACTCATTTCCCATAATCCATTTCAAGTTCTATGCTCTTAATTTTTCTTGACAAAATTTCAGTTTCATTAACTGTCACGCCATGCTTTGGATACTTCATATGGTCTTAAATAATTTATTTTAGTGATCTGGGTTTATTTTGGAGGAACTAGTTTAGAAGAAACAAAAGATCCTAATGGATTTCTGAAGTGTGAAATTGATAGAGAAAAAACAGTAAAAATATGGGAACAATGGTGCAACAATGTTTGTAACCTTGACATTACTTAAAACATAGTAGCATACCAGATGTTCATCATCCAATACATAAAATAAATTATAATACACAAATTGATATGAGGATAGACCACCAAAATGAGGAAAACGAAAAATATCAACAAGTAGCCTAACCCAGTTTTAGAGCAACCCTCGAAAGCACTCCCATACTTTAACATGACACCGCGATAGGCTAAACAAACCAGAGACAGGAGAGCGGGAAAATGAAACTCAAACTGAAAAGAAATACTCGCGTAATCAAACTCAAACTGTGCAATCAGCTGTCAAACTGTATATGATATGAGCAAATGAAACTAGAGCCCCTATGACTCAGGAGCAGGAGCGGGAACAGGTGCCTTTAACAGTGGTTGAAGAGCTTTGACAACAATACTCATATTAGGACGGAACTCAGCCTCATATTGCACGCACAGCGCTGCAACAGCTGCCAACTGAATTAAGCAAACAGGAAAAAAATTACCACTAGACTCATTAGAGGCTTTTATTATCTTTTGGGTGTTGGGGGATCGGTTGCTAAGTATCTTATTCACATCTTTTGTCTATTTCCTTTTCTTTCCATCTTTTTCATTTCTTACTTTTTCTTTCACTGAAGGTAGAGGAAGCTTTTACCAACAAACAAGAAAAAAGGAAAAAGAATGACGTCAGATAGGGGAAGGGGAGAAACCTTAGCAACTCCTTTTGCAGGAACGTCTTTCAACTTTGGATCGACGCATTGCTTAACCTTATCTTCACTTAGTCTCGGAGTAGCCTACAAGCATTACAAATAAATAATCAAGCATAGAAAATAATTGTTACCAAAACAAAATGAGAAGAAATACAAGAAACTAAACATGTCATTTCGTGCAAATTGCTCACCCAAGTAACCAAACTCTGTTGTCCACGAGGCATCGTATGATCTACAGGTTTTCTTCCCGTCAAAAGTTCAAGAAGAACCACCCCAAAGCTATACACATCACTCTTTTGTGTCAATTGTCCTGTCATTGCGTATCTGTAAACATTTTTTTTGAAAGTTGGGTTAAGATAAATCTCCTCAAAACAACAAACGTCCGAAGAATTTTGCCACTAATAAGCAGCAGAAAGAAACATAATAACATAGATCTCAACTTGGTAAAATAGAATATGACACAACGAGCAATAAATTAAAATCTCATATTAGTCATTAAGCTCTGTACCAAAACTTTAGTATCTTAGTAGACAACTATTGTGACAAAGCAAACCTCCTTAAATAACAAAGCTTCAAAATTGAGGCATTGTCATAGAACAAAACCTAACAAACCTGGTATTTCTATAGAAGGATGAAAAAAATAAGAACTTCTTAAAGATTCTTTATGCTTATCAGCTTATGTGTATTTTGCACAAAAGCATATCCAAACATTCCATCAAAAATCTCGGTATGGTTTAGTAGCATTTTTTTTATAACGAGAAATCCCCGATTGTCAGCACTGTTCGAAACTCGGTGAATAATGAGTCCGGTCATCTAGTCTTCTCCACTTAAAATACCAAGCTTTTGTTTGCAGCAAGGTTCGAACCGGTGACATGCGCCTAACTCACACATCACGTGTTGCTCTCTTACCACTAGACCAAACTCAGTCTAGTAGTAGCATTTTGGTAAGAGCATAGCAAATTTCGCATAATCCCATCGCCTAAGGGATATTACTAGGCTCGCGGTACACACAATACTACTAATCTACCACGTGGAACAACAGAACAATCATTTTGGAAGTTGAATGCTTTGATCTTCTAAATGCTTCGAATCACTTCCACGGGCAAGAAGATTTTGTTAGAAGCTTAAATGCCACGTTCATTGATCTCATCCCAAAGAAAATAGGAGCAAAGAAAGGGGGTAACTTTAGACCCATTAGCCTCGTGGGCAATTTCTACAAGATTTTATTGAAAGTTCTGGCAGGAAGATAAAATGGGTTTTCCTCTCTCAGAACCACAGTTTCAAATGCTTAGCGCTAAAGATAAAATACACATAATCTTTGCTCGTGTTTCGCCATCATATTCCTACAGATAACACTCATTCCCACTACTTTGTTTTCCCGTTTTCGCATTTAAATTGGATTTTTCTGGTCCAGGATATGCCTATCCAGAAAGAAACTTAATCTAGATACCTAAAAGAAATACAAAATTCAGTAGCATGTTGCAGGAAGCAATGAGATCAGAATTATTCAAAAACACAAAAAAATAGAAACTAAACTACATGTACTGCCATGTAAGAAGACAGGACAATTTCGCTAAGTAAAGACTAGTCAAAGAAGAGTAAGGTGCAAGACATTACTCTGGTGCATGATAACCAAATGTTCCCAAAACTCGTGTAGAATGAAGACGAGCAGCCATGTCAGGAGACTGATTTGACAGATTAAAATCAGCAATTTTTGCTTTGTAGTCTTCAAAGAGAAGGACATTGCTTGATCTGATATCCCTGTGTATTATTGGAGGCTGGACCTTCTCATGCAAATACTCAAGGCCCCTTGCAGCATCAACAGCAATTTTTACCCGTTGCATCCAATCAAGTGTAGGTCCAGGTTGTGCTCCTTGTACTCCTTTCCTGCCTGCAAGTGTACATACAAATCACAAAGCATATATATCATATATTCACCTTTTCATCAATCTAATAAATTTCCATCTCATTCAAATGATACATTCTGATACCATGCAGAATATCATGCAAGGAACCCATTGTTGCGAACTCATAAGCTAATACACGAAGGTTCCCTTCCACACAGTAACCAAGCAAATCAACCAGATTTTCATGCTTCAATCTTGAAACCATAGAGACCTTCAGAGAAAAAAGAAAATAAAGATCAGTGGGATCGGTGTATGACAGGACATGGAAGCAGTAAGGAAAAATTACATTAAGACAATACAGTTACCTGGCTCAGGAAGTCAACATTAGTCTCAGGCTCAGATGAAACATCAAGCTTTTTCACAGCCACGGCTTTGCCATTGTTTAGATTAGCATAGTATACTCTTCCATAAGATCCTTCACCAATTAATGCCTTCGATCCAAAATTGTCAGTTTCCTCTTTCAGTTCATCCAAAGACAATGCAGGGACCTCTATAGTTGGTATTGCCTTTTGCACTTCAGCCTTGGCAGGAACTGATGCTTTTGACCCTTTCTGATATCCTGATGTGCATATCCAAGGAACAGATTAAAACCTATAACCTGGCCCATTGTAACAGTAGGACTTATCTCACAAGTCACAAGCATATAAGAGATAAATGCACTAGCAAAATTGCAAGGAATATCCTCCAAATTCAATGTGTGCTCTACGAATTCAGTTGGCAGACACATATAATCCCCTTTTTTTGATTGGTCTAACATGCATACCTGATAGCTAAATGTAATAGGAAAAAAGTTACAATATTTTAGTCTTAATATATATGCTCAGACAAATTCATGAGATTTTAGTCTTGTCATAGTTATTCTTGTATTTTCTTATTCCTAGATCTTTGTTATTACAGGTTGTGCCATTTGCTTCCGTTGTCCTATTACCTTGTTGTTGCTACTATTGTTTGTTTATTGCTTCCTTTTCACTGTTCTTGAGCAGAGGGTCTATCAGAAATAGCCTCTCTATCTTCGTAAGGTTGGGGTAAGGTTTGCATACATATTACCCCCAAACACCCACTTGTGGATTTTCACTTTTTTCTTTTTTTTTTTTGGTTGTTGTTGTTATAAGTACAGTTAGGAAGAATCCTAGCTAGGTTGCTGTACCAACTTGACCTTTTTCTAGTTGTAGTACCAGCTAGACTCTTTTACCCTTTTTCTACTTGGAGCACCAACTAAGCTTTTCCGATAAGGCATACAACAATAGAAGTGAATATTTCCAGAGTATACAGCATACAAAGTCCCTGGAAAAATATGAATAGTATCAACAAAGTATTTTATCAATAATCAAACGGCATTAAAAACACATTAACAAGTCTCAGAAAGTTTAGCCCTAAGCCTATCTAGAGAAGACTCAGCAGAAGCAGCAAGGAACTGAAGCTGACAATGGGCTCTGAATAATTGTTTCCCTCTTTTCATAAAGCATTGAATTTCCTTTCCCGTTGCCATCATACTTCCCAGGAAGTTGAGTGAAATGCAAACTCAAGCAACTATCTGGATTTTCTAGAAATATGTATGTGTATATATATAATATTAATCAATAGGTAAAATGCTGTCAGGGGCATATTAGAGAACAACAAAATGGGTACAATGTTAAATACTTTTTACTTTTTGCAGTACTAAGGTACAGGGTACTAAGCAGAGTAATCGTCTAAACCACCCACCAGACATTTTTTTGGGGGAAAAATAATAAAGTTTTATTAACTGTTTAAACAAACGCCCGTGTAGAAGTACACCAAAAAATAGAAAATCTGCAGAGAGACATGGTTTTCTATGGATGATACTCAATCTTCTATACATAAAGGAACCTCATGGGTGCACCAAAAGTAATAAGACTAACCTAGCAGGGTTACATTAAAATCTCCACCGACAGCCCATGGAACAGAAACCAAACCATAAACAGCAGCTACCTCTTTCCATAGCTCTTCTATCTCAGGGTCCAAACACCCCAGTGAACACATAGTTGAATCCAGAATTTATATTCCATGAAGAACGCAATTGATTGTGCCAACATAAGCTTATCATTGCATTTCCAATTTCTGTTATCCCAGAAAATTACAATTCCCCCCTGTTGTCTTGAGCTTTCATCTCCACCTACTCGGCCCATCTGGAACCCCCTAATTGCTTTATACAATTATGGTTCATATCTTTCATTTTGGTTTGGATGAGGCATACAAAACTTGCATTCCATTTATTAATCCCCAGTTTAACCATCCTCCTCTTATCTCTATCATTAATACCCTACACATTGCAGCATAAAATTTTGAGATTTATTGGGTACTCTCTGAATTCCTCCCACCTCTCACCCTGCTTTTAGAATTTGTCCCAAAGCTCACATTAAACTCCAGCAGTTTAACCTCCCTCTCACTCCTACTTTTAAGATGGACTCTTGTTGGGAGTACTAACCTTGGCATTTCCCTACTCCCAATTAGCAACAAAATTTCTAATAAATCTTTTTTTTGAGAAAGATAAAAAATTATATTCCATTAGCACAAAGGCAGTGCAAGAAAATTTTCTAAATCTTCTTCCACTTCTGCTTTTTGTACCCCCAACTGCCTAATTTTCGGCATATTGCTCCTAACCCATCTGGATGCTTCAGCTTGGTTTAATTTCTCTTGTAAATTGTACGCTCCCTCTTCATACCGGGGAAGCATCAAAATGTCCTTGCATGTGGCTGATAGATACTTTCAATGTGGTTGTAATCATCAGCAAAAGAGAAACTTTAATAGTTTTCACTGTAGCACCTATGTTACTTTCTCAAAAAAATGTTGTTTTCACTGTCAGAGATCATTCCCAACTCTCACTCATAAGCATCAGTCACCATCAGAAACGCCATTTCTAATGTCTACTTCATCTTCGTCCTCAACTTCAGTGACCGGAAGCTTCTATCTTCTCCATTTCTGTCACTGTTTCTGTTCTCGAACTTTCTGTCACAAGCCTCACCATCGATTGATATATCTTGGGAACTAAAACGAAGGTTTGTTGAACTTTCCATCACAAGCTTCACCATCTTACAGCTTTAAAGGATTCCTATCTAGCTTTGTCGTACTTTGTTTCGGTGCCAGCTTGCTACTGACTTTATATTAATAATACCTCTACTTATTTAAAAAAAAAGGAAAATTTCTTCTCCCTTCTCCCATGTTTCCGCATCCATTCCATATCAGTATTCATTGTTAAAAGACTCCCGGTAGAATCGAATGGTAACTGAATCATTCCAATAGTTCTGAACAAGTCCTGCGTGGGCTCTTTGTCGATGAGTTTGCATTCCTCAATCCAATCTTTAAACTTACATCACATAATGGCTCAGAAAGAACTTATAACACAAGACTGGATATAAAGAGACTGACTAGTGACCACCAAACGGGCATCACCACTGCGGAAAACACCTCTCAGTACATAGCAGCTTTTACTACTTTTAAAGACACTGGAAAGAGAACAACAACATGGAATAATCATAGGCCTGACTGAATCTCCAGAGTATTATAAATTTGTCCTCTAAACCCCGAAAGGGATATAGTTATCTTAAGATTACAACTATTAGCAATATCAAATGGGACAAATGAGCCAAAAGACCATTTTAGAGAAGAAAAAGGAGATAAACTTTTGTTTCATCTGATGTAGCATAAGCACAAAAAATATCAACATACCATCAACATTGTTCTTGGGGCTTTTGTGGAGCTCGTTTTCATGCGATGGGTCAGACTCCTCTACTTGGCAGGTGCAGCAGAGCCACCTTTTCATCCTTCCTCTCTTTCTCAAATAAAGATCGTCTTTAGCCCTTCCGTTCTCCAAGCGGACAAAGTAACCAGGAGGTGCATGTGCCTGTGAAGTAAGTCCAACATAAGAATAGCGCAGTACTTAATACAACTTTATCATAGCATGCATGCCATAACACATAAGCCAATTGATTCCAAGAGATTACCATACGAAAACTGCATACCATCTCTTTATTGAATTACTTTGGAACTCTTCGTACCATTAAACATTCCAAAACTAAAACCCGTTATAATCAAATATGAAGTCGAATGCTAACCCGATAACATCAAAGACTAAGACGAATGATCTTCATTTCAAGGCTATATTCTTGCTCTATGACATCTACACGGAACTTAATATACATTTTATGCCAGTAACAGAAGGAACCAGAAAACAAGTACAAACCCACCAACAAGAAAACATACTTTTCTCAGCTAAAGTAGCAGGTTATTAATACCTTCTCCAAAGAAAAAGGAAAAAAAAAAAGTAGGTTATTATTAGTAAAAGATACAGAAACACATGTTAATGCTTTCAAATAATATTTCCTTCCACAGAAGCGCCTAATATGGCCACATTTCCTAATATTCAGCAGAAGGGGAAACGAAACAAGGAGAGAAAGAAAGGAAGAAATGCACTGAATATAGAATCCACAAAAAGAAAATTGCCAAATGCGACTAGATACCATTCCCTATACAACCAAACCTCTCAAATTCAAAATTATAAGATAAAATCTCTTTAAAAAGAAGAAAAATAGAAAAAAATCAACATTAAAATTTTTGCAACAAAACAAAGGTTCAAGGTTTTTTTTATCATAACAGAGGCTCAAGTTGAACATATTCAAAAAGGAAGTCGCTCAAAATCTTACCCCTAGTCGTTGCCTATGGAAATTGTCATCCATAGCCATCCCAACAAACAAAAATAAGCAGCTTATACAATCAACCAAAACCAAAATCTTGAAAACCCCAGATCCAAAAAAAGGGAACAAGAAATGAAACAAGGAGAGAGAGACTGAAAGAAATTGAAAAATGAGAAAAAAGTTCAAAGAAGAAAACACAACTCATTCAGAATAATAGTAGCCATTAAAAAACCATAAAGTTGTTCTCTTTTTTTCCCTTTAAATATAATACTATTCTTTTTGTTGAATTTACCTGATTCTTTTTTCCTCTTCTCTACGTTTCTGATTGCTTTGTAGAGACAAAGAGGAGCAAAGGGGTTTGTGGGTTTTTGATTTCTTCTTTTCTTTGGGGGTTCGAATGGTCGGAAATAAAGGTGAAGAACAGGTAAGCAAAGCAACGAGCGAACGAGGGAGAATATACTAAATATAGTATGCTTTTTAAGTGTCAACTCTTAAATGCGATTTATAAGTCCTAGTTGCGATTTATATATCTCATCCCCTAAATGCGATTTAAACTCATTTACATGTACGATTTGACAAATGTGATTATAATACGATTTAAAATGTCTTGTTCAACTACGACGGTCGACGCTTAAGCATCGGCTAGTGGAACCACTTGTGACCTTCTTTCGCATTCGAGGTGGGCTCTTTACACAAATGATATGGAGGTCGAGTACGGTGAACAAGTAAGACATGGGCTCTTCGATTAGGTGAACCAATCCAACTAGGCCAAAATACAATCATTTACTCCATTTCACGCTTTAGCGAAGCTTAGGTCCTTTGGTCCAAAACGAACCTATTGGGTCCAATCGCTGCTCCCCTTTTATTATTTAATGAAAAAGGTAGAAATTCCATATGCCTCCTTCTTTATATATCGCATTCTACTAATATGGTTAATAATAATGTTATTTACAACTCGTTTCCTCGAATGTGATTACAAGTTGCATTCCTCAAATACGCTTTATTAGTCACATTATAATGTAGTTATGTTGTACCCTAGCTTTTTATTTAATTGAACTCTCTACTCTTTCTCCCAAAGAAAATAAATTAAAATGAAATTGAATGCTCTACTCTTTCTGCCCAAAAAAAAAAAAAAAAAAACTAAAATGAAAATTCTCGTTAAATCACAAAAGAGAAGAAAATGTGTCACACGTCTTTCCTAGATCAAGACGATATTATTTTGTTAGTAGACTCATCTATGAATCATGAAGAAATGAATGCTACAATTTTCATAACTATGTCAAACAATTGAGCAAATATCAAAATGTTATATAATCTTTTTGACATTTTTTGTTTTTACATTTTTTATTAGACTTTATAGAATTATTTTACAAAAATTATACATACCTGAGCGCGAAGAAGTCATCGAAAAAACAAAAAAATATGACTTTTTAAAATTTCTAAAAAATCATGGAAGAACAAGAATTCATAGTTCTAATAAGATTGATGTCTTAGCTATCAAATTCATTCAATATTTGTTAATTCGATGAAATTATACTAATGATTATTTCTAGTTTAATCTTTCACAAAAATATAAATGGAACACCTTATTTCTTAACGATTAAGATAGCCCATAGTATTACAATAAAAATATAAAACTCAAAATTCAGTTTTATGTAATGCATTTCAAATATCCAGATTAGAAATCTTCCTTATATGACTAATTTAGTACTTCATAATCATTTTTTAAATATGAACTTCCACATATTTTACGATTGTATTAGTAAACTTCAATTATAAAAATTTAATTCTAAAAATGAAATACCTTCAATAAATATATGAAGCAAGCAAGCCTGCCCTACTCTCTCATGAAACCCACAGCCATGTCAACAAATGGGTATGTTGAAAAAGTCATATAGTCGGGCTCCAATGCGGGTACCGGACACCGGATGGGAAACAAAAAAAAAAGTTTAGAAACAGAAGCATGACGTCCAAACATTAACAGAATAAATTTAGCAAGAACCCTCCATCTAAAATTATTAGCACTCCAAATTCTTGTCTTACAGCAGTTTAATAGTGTTCATCACATCAACTCTACTTTTTTTAGTATAAATTATCATGGGAACACCATGACCAAAGAAAACTGAAAAGTATATTTTGTTCAAGTCCCCCAACAGGGCTTTTCGATTAAATAAAAATTCGCTGCTCTACATTTCGAGAAAGTGGAATAAGAAAGGCCGTTGTACCCTAGGCCCGACAGAATAATGAGAAGAAAGAGGCCGATTGGAGAAGTTTTGTTTGAGAAATATATATTCATTGTTCCGACTGTCCAAAATATCTGCCAGATATTGTGACCAACATATTAAGCATAATAACTTCATCATCGAGTTTGGACTTCTCAGCTCTCAAGCTTGCACATTTTCGGAGTAATGACCGTAGGGCTGCACATGTATCAGCATTGACAGGAGTATCAACCGCAGCGCACAGAGCAAACAGCCATAAGCAGTCATCCCTTGAAAGAGCACTCATGCTTTGCACAGCTGTAATTCGCTTCCTTAACATTGAAACTTGACCTGCAGCATCCATTCGTAAGATAACAGACAAGGTAGGGCTGTTGCCAAATCTTCCGGCAGGAGATGACTTTGGTATGGAATTTCCCAGGTCAGGATCATCACCAGCATCAGATAGGCAAGACTCGTCTTCTCCTGACATCAAACCATCAAACTTATCCAAAACAATGTTTTCAGGAAGCTGATCTGAAGAGTTTTCTTGATCAACAAAGGTTGCTGAACGCAGCTGAGTAGAAGTTCCAACATTAGCTTCCAAACGTGATAAAGCCTGAAACGAACCACAAGTTCCTTCATAAAAAAACATATGTAAACCGTTCAGGAGCACTACCTGCTCAAGAACTCCATAAAAATAAAGTAATCTCAAAATTCGGGTCATGAGTAGCCAATAATGACACAAATCACATCCATCATGCAACTTTAAGTTCCGATCACATTTTCAGGGGTAAAGGAGCAGAGCTCGTATAGGATATTTTGATGTTTGGATGAGTCAAACAACTATTGCATTTCCATTTCTAAAAAAGCTTCAATGCAAATATGAAAGAAATACCTGTCTTAGCTCTGAAAAATCAGCAAGGAACGCTTCCTCCCACTCCTTGAGCGGCAACAAGTGCTCTAGACAGCTTGCAATATCAGGAATTTGAGGCATGTAAGACGTCTGTTCTTTGTTTAGTTTACTGCCTTCAACCTTTGCGACCTTCACTTTTGGCAACTGTAATGCTTCCCACCTAGGACAAATTCAGCATCCATATCATTTTAGCGCCAGCTTAATGTCATGGCCAGCCGAATATGTTACAGAAAATGACGAAATTCTGAAATACAATGTCTAGCTAACTCGTAAATATATCCACCAAGTTTTAGAACGTGTTTAACATTTAGCTACAAATGCTTTCATGAGCTTCAACTCGAGTTAGAGCTTCAACCTACATGGGCATAAGTGTACAACACATCAGGTACGTTACTGGTGACCAAGAGTTTAAGACTGAAAAATTGGAGGGCGACAATAAGAGTACTATACCTTTTGCAGGCACCACAACCACAAATTTCAGACATGTCATGAAAGATGCGTAGCCTCCTACTGTGGCAGAGGAAAGCATGCATGGTTAATTTGGCAGCAGGGCTGAAAGCTCTTGAGAAGAGTACCAACTGGTCATAGGCAAGTTCATCAATGTTATTTTTGGTTGGGCTAGCAAGATGAGCAGTTACAGGAGTGTTGATGCCTATTTTGTTTGTTCAGTTAGAAAATGAAAAGGCATGGAATTTAAAGTAGAGGCTTTATTGGCTTCAACATTTGCTTTTTCAAGCCCCAGAAATTGGACATAGGAGAAACTACAAATCCTTTACTTACATTTTTATTGAGAAATTAAAATTCCTTTACATCCCTTGCAACCATAACAAGTAATTGGAAGTTAATGAGAATATTCACCTAAGGGAGTAAATACGGTGACTCCCTTTTTCCCCGCTCCTTACCGAAGCAAACATAGCATAAAGTTGGAGTTCATGGGAAGGCAGTTAATGACTTGACATATAACATAAGATTGATAGAGCTTGTGAGGAAAGGTGATAGGTTACAAGTACTTTGGGCATGAGTACTTTTCTTTATGTTTTGATGATCTAACAAACTTACCATCCAGAACCAGAGAAGCAACCTGTTATACATTTACAAGACCTTAAGATCACAAAGTTCCAGGTTGGGATCCAGCGTGGGATATAACCAACTCTTCAGAGTGGAAGGAACGGCTGAGGGAACAGGTCCCTACCAGTTCCCGAAGAGACTGTATGAAGTCAACTCTCCAGCTGGAAAGTTGCTGCCTGCACACGCTACTGTACAAGAACAGTGCAGCAGTCAACTTTTTGTGGAGGTCTTTTTACCTACCTTGCTTACATCATTGTAAGTGATGTCACACATGTATAAATACAATCAAGGAAGGTAAAACAACTTATTTCATGAGAGAACAAGATAAGGAATCTTATTCAATTAAGTTCCCTTGCATTCAGAATAACTAGTCACATGTCTGGTTCAATTCTCAATGAAATCAGATAAGGAAACAACAGAGTGACCAGATAGGGATCAGTTTCCCTCGTCGTTGTACAGTCAACTCTACAGCTGTAAAAGCTGTTGCACTGTACCGTCTGACAGGCTACTGCACCGTACCGTCTGGCAGCAGCACAGCTATAGCTTGCTAAGGCCAAACTAAAGGGCACTTTATTACATCATCCTTGATAACATCACACACATATATTATCAACATGAGGCAAAGAATTTGATCACTCCAACACTTGCAAAATCAAAAGAAAATATTCTCTCAAGTGCTAGACACAACCTCTCTCAAGAACAAAGCTGTTGCAACCTCAAGGACCAGATCCAAAGATTGAAGATATCATAAGTCCTTAGATTTGTTGAGTCTTTGTTATTTGTTCTTCATTTGTAACTCCTACTTAGCTTAGTTAGAAGCATTGTGTAGGAAACCCTTTATAAATCATAAACCCTTGTGTTTGTGTCTTGGCTAGAGTTAGTCGAGTTGTGAAGTCTTTGTAATAGAGTTATTACAAAGTGGCTTGTAATAGTGTTGTTACAAGTTAGTGAGTGATTAAGTCTTTGTAATAGAGTTATTACAAAGTGGCTTATAATAGTGTATTACAAGTTATTAAGAGGTTAATTCCTAGGTTACAATAGGTTGTAATCTAAAGATTGCTCAGTAGTGAAGTTGAAATCCTACGAGGGTAGGTCGTGGTTTTTAATCCCGTTGAGCTAGGAGTTTTCCACGTAAAATTCCTCTGTGTTCTTTATTTACTGCCGATTTACCGTGGGAACAAATAGAGAACCTGATTCCCTATACTGACAGTCTGTTGCTTACAGTGGGAACTAATAGAGAACCCGGTTCTCTATACAGTTTGGTGGACTCATATATTCTATGAAAAGGGGATATGAAAGTGGAGCAGAAAGTTAGAGAGAATGTCCAACTTCTCTCTAGAAGTCCGGTAGGCCAGTTTTCTCAGATACTGTTTCTTTGTTTTTCTCCAATCATTTTCTTAAAGTAATCTATTAAAAACTGAGCAATTAATGATGGAAAGAAGAATTTATTTCATATATGGTAAGAAGTCTTATGCAATTTCAGAGAACAGTTATGACAGTGAAGCATGGTATGATTGGGTTGAAAGAACGAAAAACTCAATTTGTCGTATGACTGTTAGTAGGAGAGCGTTGTTGCGGCTATGCCAGTTGTTTCACGAAGCTTCAGTGGGACGTGATAACATCTACAGAAGATGGAAGATGCTTGACCAACTCTACCAGTATTATTGTTCCCAAAATTACAGCTACTATTGCAGATACATATGCATAGTTGCAGTTCAAGGCAGCAGAAGAAGTGTAATCATTCTACCGGAAGTTGTAAACAGTTCAGGGTGGACTTGGCAACCACAATATGATAAGTTGGTTATCCAAGAATTAGGAAAACCTTCCTAATTTTTTTTTTTTTTTGCTTAAATATCCTTAAAAGGAGCCATCTTATGTTGTCATCGGTATCAATAAAAGTTTTCTTCTTCTTTTCTCGTTCACGATCGGCAAGTTGCTACAGAGGTTTTAAGTGAGGATGCCATATGATATTAGCAAATATATAATTTAGAATGGGAAGAAAGGTAAATGCAAATACGAGTGCATGTGGGGGTGGGGGGGTGGGGGGGAGGTCATTGATTTCAGAAAGGTATTAGGAAAGAATGGGTTCACTCCAAGAAATTTTTCTCAGCTATTAAGATGGATAGAAAGGGGTCAATTCAAACTGTTGGTGTGATCAGATGAGCCAAGTCATGTAGGAGCTCACCGGTCACCAGAAGAAGATATGTTCGTGATTGAAATTAATTGTGAAAGACTCGAGCATCAAATATAAAATCTTAATGCAATGGGTGAAGTATTCCATAATCATTTTATACCCCTTTGGAAACACTTACATAACCAATACGGGACGTATCAGCTGCCCCTCTGCATGTGTTATACTTTCTAAGGTTTACATGCAAAATTTTGACTTTTTGCGTATTATATTTGCTCTTTTTTTGGTTTTCTATGGGCTTTTTTTTCTTTTCTAAACTGAAATTGCTCAAAATGTTTAAGAGTAGACCAGTCATTTCGATACGTTGACAAATGAATTTAACAGCACTGTTATGATAGTCGGAGAGGCTCGATATGATGAAGAGTAAGCTTAGCGTAAATGAAAGATAAGCTCAATAGGCAAATAAGCGTGCCTGAAATAGAGTTAGTGACTGATGGACTGAACTTAGAGAGAAGCACAACTCATTGGGCTGAGTTCAGAGGAGGAACCCCAGAGCATAGAAGTAGAGCGAGGATAGGCTTACCAAAATTTGGCATTGATATCATGTGACAGAATCTAAGTATCCAACCTAAAACCTACTTAAAACCTTAAGACACTTAGGGTGTGTTTGGTATGCTGAAAAATATTTTCTAATTTTTCCATGTTTGGTTGGCTTAAATATTTTAGAAAACATTTTAATTTCCTCATGACTATACGGAATAAAAGAAAATAGTGCTATGACTATACGGAATAAAAGCTTCTGGCTGATAAGCTTGAAGCTGGGTGCTTCTAAAAGGGATTACCCAATGGGTTATAACCTTTAGGAAGTGCAATGTTTTATGTCAATTGTTGATCATATTGATGTAGTAGATCCTTTATTTTGATACCAAGCAGCCAATCCAGATTAATTTTAAGTCGAGACACAAATGCACAAAAACTCCTATAGCAGAACTATGAGTGTAAAGATAGGGAAAAGGAAAGAAGAATGAAGAGAGGGAAAATAGTAGAGGAGTTTGCAGAAGCAAAATCTAAAATTCAGAGAAGAAGAAGAGAAGCAGTGGGTAGAAGTAGCAGACAATGGGAGGACAACGGGGGAACAATCACATAACTTTTTTCCTCTTCTATAAATAGAAAATAATTACCTGTCATGCTCAAGAAAATGTTTGTTAAAAAACTTTTGAAACTTAACATATTTAATTGTAAACTTTTATTCTAAATATATAGTACTTTATTTTAAACATATACAGTCAGACCTCTCTATAACAGCATCCCTATATAACAACCATTCACTATAAAAGCCAAATTTTTCTGGAACCGATTTTAACATTACGTTATAATATATCTTCTCTATAACAGCACTTCACTATAGCAGCCAAAAAATATCGGAACAAACGAGGCTATTATAGAGAGGTTTGACTGTAGTACTTAACGTAATCCCTAAATATGAAAATTTTATTTCAAAAAGTTAATAAAGCAATGCTTGAACTCTGGCTTAGATGCGCTGACCCTCAAAATCTAAATCCCACAATAGCTTTTGAGATCGAGGAAGCATGAAATTACAGCTAAGATCCAAAACTCTAAGAAATGGCCCAAAGCTAAATGATGACTTACAAGAAGGTAATAAAAGAACTTGGACACAAAATACTCTTAAGCTATTTAACTCCTAAGTTCACATTTTGCTGTATTTATCAAATCCTGTGAACCAATTAGTGTCACGTCTAAATGTGCATTGGTTCAATTGTGACTGGATTTTGTCAGCATCAACTGCATTTTTTTAATGCCAAATGGAGAAATCCAGCCATGGTCAAAAGTTTCCTCCTGAACTAGAATTGGCTCGCAGAAAGCACAGCAGTTGATTACTTTTCAGCTATATGCTGATTGACATGGAGGAAGAGAAACTGAAATATTTAAGTGAATGAAGTCAGCTTATACCAGCTTAAACTAGCTTCTCTTCTTGGGTTGACGGGCTCTAAACAGAGTTAGTGACAAATTCAGTACATCTTTTTACATGCTAAGGGCTACTTGTATAACCCTCTCTATGCGGTTATTCAATTGAAGGTGTTTTTGTTACTAACACTTGTATATCCTTGTATATGTGGTACCAAACTTAAATAATACCAATTTCATGTTACCCATTTAAAAAAGAAAATGCTTATATCAATGACACTTCACCATTTGAAATAAAATTGATTTATCACCACCATCTCAAAAGAAATCAACTTACTTTTATAAGTGATTCCAAAGTTATTGACTCGATTTGTTAGAACTTCAGTACATCAACAATGTTATTGAGTAGGTGTGTCAAGTAGCGGCCTGCGCTACACTTGGGTGGGGTTAAAATAGGTTAAATCAATAAACAGGTTGAGTCATAACCCGGACACAGTTTGCTTAGGTCAAAGATGGGAAGGTCAATTTGTCTAAACATAGATCATAACCCAACCCACCCAACTCAAAATCATTTTTCATTAATTTATTTCTTCTTTTATAATTTATTTAATTACCAAATCAAACTAATAAAAGTTGCTTCTTTTATTTACTTTGACTATATCAAACAGATATAACCCAAATAACTAATTTTACTTGTAATTTTTTATGGATCCATTTGTTATTAGAGCTAAAAGATTAATAGGAAGTAAACAAAAGCAAAAGACCGAGAAGCATTTGAAGAGTACAAGAGAGCTAAGAGCGAAGCTACAAAGACTATTAGTAAAGCTCGCGAGGAAGCCCTAAATGGCTCGTACCAAAAATTAGGGATATGAGAAAGGGAGAAAGAAATGTTTAAAATAGTAAGATGGAGAGAGAAGAGGAGTAAGGATTTAAACCGGCTGAAGTGTATCAAGGATGATGCTCAACTAGTGTTGACAGGAGATAATGAGACCAAGGAGAAATTGATTAGGCTATTTTTATCAATTCTTCAACTCGAACAATGAGAATTACAAATCTCCATACATCTTACCCTTTAGCTACACTCTTAGAATTAGGCCGTCAAATGTAAAGGATGCCAGGAAAAAAAAGAAAAAAAATGAACATTAGAAAAGTCTGTGGTCCAAACAGTATCCCTATAGAGGGTTGGAAGTAGCTTAAACAGGTTGGAGTAGGATGGATTACCATGTTATTTAATGTTATACCAAGTTATCCCTCTACATTTTTCTATGAAAAGGGTAGAGGCTTCAAGCACAACTTATCATCCCAGATCTACTATAAAGCCTTCATTTTATTTTTGTAACATCCATAACATGGATAGGTTAAGAGCAACCCTTTTAGACACGAATAGAAAAGTGGTACCTGACACGCCTAAGATACTCAAGCCCATCTTCAGGAGGACCAGAATCAAAGTCAGGCTCTCCTGTAACTATAAAGGCAGGTCTTTGGATGCTACTATAATCATCATTGCTATCATCACTTTCTTCATAAACATCGCTTTTTCCCTCATAAGAGATGCCATCATCCCTACTGAGAGGAAATGCCGAAGGAGAATATCTAGTGTCTATACTCCCTTCTTGATCATCCGAGTGCCCTGAATGGTCATTACCTGAAAGGCGTAAACGATTACTGACATACACTCAGCAACTTCTAATACAGATGTCTGAGCAAATCCAGAAAATCAACTAATATATCATCCTCAAGCAAATTTCAGGTTGAGATGTTTATTCACTTCAAATGCAAATGAAATTTATCAATTCAGTCACTTTACAACTGCAAGTAGACCATACAATTACATCAGCAATCCATTTTCCAGTGTACTACATTCTATTACATGAACAATACACGTAAACGCATCATCTCTCTATCTAGCACTGTATCAACATTTCATTTACAAGAGCTATCTATATACAATAAGATTCATCACTGTGGTAAGATATGAGCAAATAAGAAATCAATGCTCATCCCAAACACTTTTCTGTACAGCAGAGAGTATTGGACAATGGTTAGAAATGCTCTTCCCGACCACCCTTTATCTCGAACTGGGTACTATAGTAAAGACCTAATGGCTAGGTAAACACAAAGTGTTTTGCAGATTCATATATGTCATGCCTCTTTGCGTATAAACTTTCATATGTTTTCCTTGTTCTTTTGCAGCCAAAACACCTGTGCCAACAGAAATTTGGAAACCCATCAAATTGACACAACCACAATAGAATGTGTACAGAAGCAAACAATACATAAAGGCGAGAAATAGAGTAAAAACTTTGACATGAAATGTGTAGCTTGTCAAAATGTCAAGAGTTATAATCTACAATATAACCCTAGTTACATCTAAACTTGCATTTGCATGAAAATGGGGAAGGTCGATGATAGGGGTCCGTTGTTGGAACACAAATTCTCCACTGCAATAGTTGTGTCCTTTTCCCCCTTTTTTTTTATTGTGAAAGAAGCACTCTTTGAATCCCTTTTACCCAAAGTGTTAAAACAGATTTAACAAAAAAAATGTTTAGAGTGGCATTTGAGATTTTAATTTTTATTCTTTTGAGATTTTAATTTTTATTCTTTGGCGTTCCTAGATATATCCAGTAATGGTGCCACTGTGCCAGCAAGGAATGGTAGAAAAGATAAAACCCCGACCTTAAACAATAAGCAACTAACAATTTTAATTTTTATTCTTTGGCGTTCCTAGATATATCCAGTAATGGTGCCACTGTGCCAGCAAGGAATGGTAGAAAAGATAAAACCCCGACCTTAAACAATAAGCAACTAACAATTTTAAATGGTGAAGATCAAACAGCTTCTGAAACTAATATTCACTTTGCACACAGGCTTATATGTTTAGGGGACAGAGAGAGAGTGAGATGTCGTTTCTGATAGCGACCAAGTATGGCTGTGTGCATATATATATATATATATATATATATATATATATATATATATATATATATATATATATATGTATGTATGTATATATATATATATGTATAAAGAAGCCAAGCATCAACCACGAAAACTAAAAAGGAAGGGTGAAAAGTAAAAACAAAACTTTTAGTTTTTTTAAAATAAATAAGCAATATTTCACTGATGAAAACCAGCATTAAGAAAATGCTGGTGCAAAATACATTCAAGGATGAAATCAAGTATGGCTGATGAAATCAAGTATGGCTTCAACTTCATTTACAATTGCCATCTTGCACCAAAAAGCTACCCAAATTATGCAACCATGCTTAGGCTAATACTAATTACATTTTCAAATTTGCCTTCAAATATTCTAAGATTCCTTTCCCTTCAAAAACAAAACTTTAGTTGATTGCTCATGCACTTCACAGAACTAACTGGGAAACAATGGACCCTCCAAGATACAAGGCACACATGGATGTATTACCAAGAAACTCTTAAAGCATAGAACTCACTGCATAATAGGCCATAGAGCACTCCGCTGAGCAATTTTACAGATTCAGTTGATGAAATATCAATTTTTTTTATAAAAGCAAATCACTAAAGAGTAAAAAGATATTTTATGTAGCCAAAGAAGTTTTTGTATTCTCTTAGACAAACGACGATATTGTATAATTCTTCCAGTATCTTGATTTTGACTTGATACAAATTCGGGTATGGCATTCTCTTGTCTTTTTCTCATATACTCCTAGATCACCATACGTATTGTTACCTCTTTGGTGCTTTTCTTTTATATAGCTTTCTTATTTACCGATCAAAAACGAAAAGAGAAAAAAGGATACAACTTGAATTTGGCTGGCCTGCATGTTCGTACATTGATTTAAATAGAATGACCTCCCGCTTTACATTTGAACAACTTTAGAAAGAAACATCCAAAAGCAATAATCCAACATGTCAATCTCTTAAAATGGTACCACCATGCCAACAGATAATGAACACTATTTCACAAAGATTGAGAGGTTTAAATATTAAACCTTCAAATCAATTGACTAGGTAAACTTCACTCCATAATTATTTTTATCAGGCTCCACAAATTATCATGTAATCTTTACTGCCAGTTTCGGAAATATAGTAAATTATACTCTCAAGAAACACCAGGTATCAAAGAACAAACAACATTAGCCGTACAACTATTCAAACAATGCAGAAAAAGAAAATTCAGATAATACGAACCAGAAATCACAGGGGTATTTTCTTTTCCAAGGTGCCCACGAATGTGCTTTTGAGTATTAGACCGAAGGAGGCCATCGTATTCCTTTTGCACAGTATCATCAAGCCCACAATACACCTCAGCCCACATTTTCCTCTGTTCTTCGATTCCAATAAATCTCAAATTTTCCAACTCCTTTCTACGATAAGCCATTTTCTCTTCTCCTCCTTTCCTTTTACAGCCATCAGAAATGAGCACATTTTTTTCTTTGGCTTCTGCCATATTCCTACCTTTTGCTTTTCTTGCCACCATTTTCTCTCCATTCTCTTTTTCCACTTGATGATTTGCATTCTTTTTCTTCCTATTTGTTCGTGATTTGAATCTTTTATCAACTGTGCGACTTTTTCCACCCTGAGAGATATCAATCATTGCTGTATCATCAATTACTTCAATTTTCAGTGAACACCTAACAGACCCATCATCTGTTGTATCTTTGGGCGGCACATGGGTATTGTCTTTGACTTCAAATTCTTGAGTATCCATATAGAGCTTCTCAGAAATGATTGTCATCTTTACAGAGTTGGCCTTCTTGGTGAAAGAAAGGGAGTCGTACCCTTTGGTGTTGGAGAACTCAGAGAGGATTTCTTTGGATTATTCACATTCACAAGAGGGAGAGAAAGCGGTAAATTGGAGCTAAGGGGTTTGGGGTTTTTGGCATTTGGAGGGCTTTTATAGCATTTTCTACACGCGGGTAGAAACGTTTTTGAGAATCACAATCGTCCGTATGCATGCTCAAGTAGTCACGTGTCACAATATATGCGGACCACTAAACTTGTCTGCATTTTTATCTGGATCCGGAACCAAAATGTTGTTATTTTGGATTCAAAAGATACAAATAAGTGTAAAAAAAAAAGGTGACCATAATATATATAATGCCAGAAAACCTGGCGCTATATAATAACGGTAACCGCACCGTTAATGTATAGCGCCAGGTTTTCTGGCGTTATACACTGTCACAGCGATATAGCGCCAGGTTTTCTGGCGTTATACACTGACACAGTGATATAGCGCCAGAAAACCTGGCGTTATATCCCTCAATAAAAAACCCTCCATCTTCTTCACCCGTCTTCTTCTTCACCATTATTTTAGTCCTCTATCCAAAAACCTGGTCCCCCCACTGTCCGCCATTATAAAAAAAAATTGGGTCCCCCCGGCACATAAAACTTGAAGAACGTAGGTCTCACACTCGAGTAGAGCTTCTTGTTATTGTTGATTCACGCTTTCGGAGTCAAAATTTCGATCTATTTGCTTTCCGAAAATTCTAAATCGAGGTATTTCGATTTATTTTAAGTTGAAACTTTTATAATAATGCATATTATTTGATTTGTATGTGTTCTATTTCGGTTTTTTTTTTTCGAAATTAGCATCTTAAATTTATCCGGATTTAATTTTACTGTTTTATATAAAAATATAAATTTGTCAAATAAATTTGTCTGTTAATATTCTCATTTATATATATGTGCTTTCATGCCGTTTTGTGTTTTATTTGCAATTAAATTTATTTGTTGTTTATGTTTAGTTTAGATTATTTTTTAGCGTAGTAAAATCTAGACCTTTTTAGCGTAGTAAATCGTAGACCCTTTTAGCGTAGTAAAATTTAAAGCCTTGTAGCGTAGTAATGTGTAGTATTTTAGCTTAGAATTCCTTTTGTTTTAGTATCTTATACTGGTATTTCGATCCTCAAAATATGGAGCCCGGAACTTATATATATATATATATATATAAAATTTATACAATTG